GGGGGGCCGACGGCAGTGGCGCACCTGCCGTGTCGAACACCGGCAGTCCAGCCGGGCTCTCGTATTGCGGATGGCCGCTTCAGACTTTGTCCACTGCCGCCCGTGGGCGTCACGCGCTCTGGGCCCCTTGATGTGACAAATTCCAAGTGTTGCCTTTTCCCCCACCACCGCCCCCAGTCCGCCGAGGCGCCCAGCAGCAGCGACGCGGCCGCGGCGGCGGCGGCGCCTCCTGTGCCTCAAGTAGAGGCGGTGGAGGCGAGCAGCAGCGGCGGCGACAGCAGCAGCAGCGGCGGCGCGGCGGCGGCCGACGCGGTGATCGACGTGGCGGCGGAGGCGCCCGCGGGCGCGGCGGCCGCGGCGGCGGCGGCGGCGGCGGAGGCGGAGGAGGCGCGGCGGGCGCTCGAGGAGGCGGAGCGGAAGAAGAAAGAAGACGAGGACCCGGTCAAGGTGATCTGATGTAGATCATGACGTGCCGTATAACGTGGTGGTCGGCTGTGTGCTCCGTGCACTTGCCGTCAGGCAGCCGGTCCCCCCCCTTTCCGGGCTTTGCGCCCGCCTTCTTCATGCACTGGACCCCCAGCGACGCAGCCATTTTCCCCGCTTGGCCCGACGATCCTGACCCTACTTGCCATCCTTTCCCTGCTGTACCCCCCTTGATCCGCACGCCCTCAACCGCCCTCAACCGCCCTCAACCGCCCTCAACCGCCCTCAACCGCCCTCAACCGCCAGGTGATGAAGAAGATGATCGCGGCCAGCCGTGGCGAGTTTGGTGAGGACGAGAAGAAGGCCCAGAAGGACATCAGCCTCGCCAACGACGTCGACAAGGCCGTGCGGTGAGCCACGATATGGTGATCTGATGATCTGGTGATCTTGCAGAGCGTCCTGACCTGAGCGTCCTTACGTTGCTTCCAGGAAACCATCCTGGTGGTGCTTGTGCCATCGTGCACAGAAACCCCACAGCACGCCGCCCGTGGAGCCCGCGCTCAGAGTCGCGCCCCTCGTGTCCCCATCCATGCTCCCTGCAATTGCTGCCCCTGCGTAACCTGCCCCCGCATATCCCAGACCCACATGACCCCCCCCACGTCACCCACCCATGCACACCCTGGTTCCCGTGTAACCCGCCCCCTCGTCACCCGCCCCCGCGTCACCCCAGTGCTGACCTGTACAAGGTTTACCTGATGTACAGCATGAGCGGTGACGTGGTTGAGCTGCCGGTGGGCGGTACGATCCGCAAGAAGACCAGCAACGAGGTGCGAGACGCCTGTGATTCTTGTGTGTGCCTGTGTGAATGTGTATGTGTGTGTGCATGTGTGTGTGGGGGGGGAGAGGGCATGAGTGCGTGCATGGGTTTGTGCGTGTGTGTGTGTGTGTGTGTTGTGTGTGTGTGTGTGTGTGTGTGTGTGTGTACACGCAGCACGGACGTGTAGGCACGAGGCTAACTCCCACCTCCACGGAACCCCTCTCCTGGCTTGCACGGCCGCTCCCCACGCCGGCACCGTCGACGCACACCCGTGTTCTGGACCAGACTGCACGACACTCTGCAACCCCCCCTGTGCGTGTGCGATCGCCCCGCAGACGCGCGCCCAGGACATGGCGCGGCTGCAGCAGCTGGGCGACATCCTGGGCATGAACCAGATGGAGGTGGCCTCGGTGCACCAGGACCTGTCGGAGCAGGCATTCAAGCAGCAGGCGCGCGATCTGGGCTTAGCTCGCCAGATCTGTACGATATGCAGCGCATGATCTCGAGGCCCCACATGCATGCTGATTTACATTGTGTCCATGCAGGCCAGCGCTGCCGCCGGCGGCCGGTCGCCCCGAACTTGACCCACCTGTCGCACGCCCGCGTTTGAATCGCACCCGCAGGCCCAGGACGTGCTGCGCGCCCCTGGCCCGGTGAGCCCCCAGGTCACGGCCTACCTAGATGAGATGCGCAAGCAGCTGCAGCTGCCTGAAGACAAGGCGCAGAAGATAATCCGCGAGGTGAGCTGTCGGCGCTGGAACTTGACTCCCACACCGCACCCACCTCTGGGGAGGCCTAGACGTGGCTGCTGCGTGTGCTTGCGTGGGTTTTCAGGGGCCTAGGACCGGCTCAGGGCCAGCGGACCCTCTGTTGAATGAGATTGATGGCGCTTTGGGCTGACGTCGTCTGGGGCACCCCCCAGCTTTCAAGTCGCTCCGGCGCCTGGTGTCTGATCAAATTCCGCCTCTAGGTCAGCATGTCGGGCTGTTTCCACCCTCTTGATCTCAGCCCCATGAACAGCCTGGGTCCGCACGGACCCCTGCCCCAACCAGCCCCGCATGCCCCAACACAGCTGCCCTCCCCCCCGCCTCCCCGCCTTCCCCATGCACTGTCTGCCGCCCCAGATCCGCACGGAGGTTGTGGGGGCCAACGCGGCCCTGGAGGAGTCTGGCGGCCAAAAGTGGACAGTGGAGCGCGTCCTGGAGGTGCGCCACTCCGTTTCCCTCACCCCCGTAACCCGCGCCGTCACGCACTACATCACCCCAGTTCCAAGCACCTCGCATCCCCACCTGTGCATGCTCCCCTCGTTACACC